AAAACCCACAATCTTTCTCTGTCTTCTTTTAATTGAGTTTTTTAAAAAATCCAGTTTCGTCCTTTTTAGGACGACATTTTTTGTTATTTGAAGCCCCATCTTAGCATTTGCCAGGGGCCTCAATGTAGGCAGGCCATAAATATGGCCAATTGTCTGAACGCGGCTTCTGGGACCTCTCCACGGCGATCCTCATCCACATGGTGGAACTTTGTGTCACAGGGTGATTATCGCTTGTGTGATGTCCGAGTGGGGTAGAAAGTCAGTCAGTCAGTCTGTCTTCTGCTTGATGAATAAGTGTATGATTACGTAGTCCTGTCGATTTCTTGAAGTTGTCATTCCATGTTCTTCTTTGCCCTCCTTTTCTTCGACTACCCCCAGTGTTCCTTAAAGTACAGTCTTTGCAATTGAATCATAGGTCAGTCTAAGCAGACGTGGTCTACCTTGCCATCACATTCAGTTTTCAGGTTGCATTTCCTCTTCCCAGAACGAGACTAATATCTTCTCCAATGTGCTGCCCGCCCGAAGCAGTTAGTACAATGTCGGATATCAGGTTTGGTATGTGCTGTGCAACATTCTTAGTTAACACAGGGTAGTGCCAACTGAGACATTTGATAGGCAAGCTGGAACATATCTAGTGACCGTTAGCATGCTGTTTATTCGAAAACAGCAAAGAATGTGATGGACTTAAAGGAAGAGACATTATGAAGTCCACATCAAGACAGATGAAACCAAACACTGGTTAAAGATATTAGACTCCCTCAGTAAATGGTTGAACTTTTCCTTCGCCTTCTGAAAGATGAGGATTCTGTTTCAGACACCATTGCCAGTGCTAATCTTTGGAGGTCGTACGTGAAACTAGGGAGTTCTTACTTTGTGCAACTCTTTGGCAGGCGACCGACAACATTTTCTGTCAAAAGAGACCGGCTATAGAGGATAAAAGGCATGACATAACCCTTGACCCATTAGGGCCGTGGAGGTGTATTGATGAAAGCACTATAACATAAAACCCACCATTTTTCTCTGTCTTTCGCCTAATGAATAAGTATATAACTTAGTCCTGGCCATTTATGGATGTTGTCATTCCAGGTTCTTCTTTGCCCTCCTCTTCTTCGACTACCCCCTGAAGTTCCTTGACGTACAGTCTTTGCAATCGAATCATGTCTCACCACGTGCCTAAACCAAGCTTACTTGCGACGTTTCACCACTGCCAAGAAAGGCCCCTGATGTCCCGCAAATTTGTATACTTTGTCTATGACATATTTATTAGTTTTGTGTTCTAAATAACTAATTGGTAAAATGCGTCTGAAGCACTTACATTCTAAAGCATGAATCCTCCTTTCCATTTCCACAGTGAGAGTCCAACTTTCACATCCGTAAAAGAAAATAGACAGCACCAGTGCAATGTGCTCTGCTAGGGGTATGTTTTGGTAGTCTTAGTTTCAGCTTCAAAGCAAACGGGTCGCCCCATCTTTGCTCCGCTCCTGTACCAACGAAAAACACACAGAATGTTTATCACAGTATTAGATTTGCAGTTCATCATTGATGGTAGCAGAAGTCGCCAACAGATCAGCAGTTGCCCACGCGATCAATTTTAATCACATACGGGCACCACAACACTGCACGACAGGCATCGCGCCAATGTTTTGTTTAGCCACTTTGCTTTCTGACGAACTGTAAGTTGTAACGACACAGCAGAAACGAACATTGAGTTGCGTGCTTTTATTCGGTGAATCACAACATTGAGTGTGCATACATTATCGCGTCCTCGTGTTCTCCTGCACGGCTGATTCTGGCGACCTGGTCAAACTTCTCTCACTCTACATGAATCTATCAGCGTCTTTCGAATCATCCATCTATCCTTCACGAAACCTTGTACTCGGTATTAAGACATGTGGGAAACATTCATTTCTCCTCTCGAAATATAACAATCATTCACGATTAGTTCATTCTTCTCAGGCGTCCATTCATGCGACCTCTCGCTACCAGGTCCGAACTTCAACTGTCTTACCCCTGTCTCCCGGTTCACGTCTTCCGTTCCCATCTCATGCTTTTCTTGTATCCCTTACTTCGCTCACCATGGGATACACGAGACCCACTTATCTCGTTTTTCTCTTGTATCACTGGTCCTCCGACCTTGTCCTCCCCATCGGAAACTCTCTGGGATTTCCCTGGGAATTCACAACATTACAACTCCTCGTCCGGGATTTGTAAATATTGACCGTGACTGCGATGCTGATTTTGATCTTTCACATCGTATTCAGCGGTGACATCTTGTCTTGATTTCTTTTGTACAGCTGCCATCGTTGCATATGTGGGTGCCAAAATATTTAAAATATGAGACAAAAGCTATTGAAATGAAGTTAATCCACACGTCTTGAACACCTGTTGAATTACGCCTGATAATGCTGATTTTATCTGTGGTTACACAAGTAGTCAATATCTGTCTGTCTGCTACGGTCGATGATGAACTGCATTTCCTATGTCGGACTGTTTGTGTTAGCACTTCTGGTGGCTACCGTATGCTTTTAATGCGTGTGTATGCTAGTGCATATGCTGAGACAGCAGTCTGTCAATCTCTCCACAAGGAATTGTGATGAACATTCTGTGTTTTTCGTTGGCGCAGGAGCGAAGCAACTATGGGGGCGACCCGTTTGGTATGAAGCTGAAACTAAGATTACTAAGATTACCAAGATTACTAAGTATCTTTCTATATACTGACCATGAATTAACCTTACAGTCTCAGAACCGCTCCGACGAGAATCTCCAACACCGCCTTTTTCTCTCCTTCTATCTCCCCCTCTGTATTCTTTTGTCATGGAATGAGAATGAGAAGACTGGAGTACATCGTGACGGTAGGAAAGTTGAAGGGGATGAGAGGCAGAGGGAGATCGAGAGAACAGATGCTTGATAGTTTGACATCATGGCATGGAAGATCATTTGTGTCAGTGTTGGTTGAAAGTACACGAGACAGAAGGTTGTGAACAGACATGACTACCAACGCCATACGGCATGGACTTTAAGAAAAAGATCTCTCCCCCCCCCCCCACACACACACACCTCTCTCTCTCTCTCCCTCTCTCTCTCTCTCTCCCTCTTTCTCTCTCTCTCTCTCTCTCTCTCTCTCTCTCTCTCTCTCTCTCTCTCTCTCTCTCTGTCTATTCCTAGGGGCTTCCTGATCTGAAGACATATCAGTGTGATCTCACCAACAGTAATGTGATTTCGGAATAAGATTATTTGGTTTTGGTGAAACTAGTTTATTTGTAAATGTGTAGTTTTAGAAAAGGTTTTCGTAGAATACTTCTTATAATATTAATAGTAGCAACAGCACCAGTAGCATTATAGTTGTGGAGGTAGAAGTAGTATTTGTTGTTGTAGTAGTTTTTGTTGTTGTAGTAGTAGTAGTATGTGTAGTAGTAGTATTTGTAGTAGTAGTAGTATTTGTAGTAGTAGTAGTATTTGTAGTAGTAGTAGTATTTGTAGTAGTAGTAGTATTTGTAGTAGTAGTAGTATTTGTAGTAGTAGTAATATTTGAAGTAGTAGTAATATTTGAAGTAGTAGTAGTATTTGTAGTAGTAGTAGTATTTGTAGTAGTAGTAGTATTTGTAGTAGTAGTAATATTTGAAGTAGTAGTAATATTTGAAGTAGTAGTAATATTTGAAGTAGTAGTAATATTTGTAGTAGTAGTAGTATTTGTAGTAGTAGTAGTATTTGTAGTAGTAGTAATATTTGAAGTAGTATTAGTATTTATAGTAGTAGTAGTATTTGTTGTTATCGTCGCGCGTCAGTGGCGGCGAAAGCATAAACGGTGATGATTGTGGTATTTGTTTTGATAGTTTTTCTTCTTCTACTTTTTCTCATTCATCTTATTTTTCCCCCTCATCTTCCTCCTTAGTACTCAAAAGGGCGATTGACACGTTGTTTTGCAGTTTACAGCAAAGCTCCGGTATCTGTTCCTTTCGGCCCAACACTCGGGAATATTTCTGCCATATAAATTTCTAAACTAGAGGAGAAGAAAATTGAAAATAAATGTGCTTAAACGCGAGATTATCGACTTTATTGCACCGCGGCTGTATCCAACATGGGTCAGTCTTTTGTTTTTTTTGTTTTTTTTTGTTTCTAGCAGAAAGACTGTTCTTTCATTAAGATCTGACATAGAACAGGAAACTGTGCAGAACTGGCACCTGGTACGGAACTCGTGCATGCAATAAAATCTGTACATTCCCCAAACAATCCTCAAGAACAAAATGTGCAGAGAAAGCTATAAGCAACCACGAAGGACCTGTAGCTAACATGCGAATTTATAGAAACAGATCACGTGACGATGTGACCTCAGCATACGAAACCAAACGTTAAGAAGTATTTGAACACACAACCACCACACTTACGTTTCTCTTGCTATACATCATCATCATATGGTAGGTCCTTTGCAGAACGTCGCTCACATCGCGGTCTGCTTGAAAAAAAAAAACTCGATCTCTCTCCAGCTCTCACGCCTCCTCTCCCGCCTCATGTACTTTCATACTCGAGGAGTCACTTATATCTTATGCCAATCTTCGTGTTGGTAGGCCCCTGCCCCTCCTTCCTGGTACCATGCCTTCTGCTATTTTTATCCCAGTCCGTCGTGGGGCTTGACCAAAATATTTCAGCTTCCGGGACAGGATGCTGTTTGTTAGCCAATCTTCCTTGATGTTCAGATATTTCAAGGATGTCAGTATTTCTCCTCTTCTTTGTCTAAGATATTCTGAGTCTTGCTATACAAATCAATTATAATTGTTTTAAATTTCAGGATATATCTAGCAAGATGATGACTGTCCATCCTTCTGTGCTTTTGCTGCATGAAACATTTCAAAAGAACCACAATAAAAAGGCAGTTTTGTACAGGATGCTTTGCCTTGCGTGACGTCTCTGTCTTTTTGTTGTTTGATCATGAATTTAATTGTCACGCAGTTCTACGCCATTCCACCGACCACATCGTCGCCCGCGTTGTTTTACCCGGCAGTATGAAGGAGGTTCAGCATGAGAATGACAACGATGCGGAACGACAAGAGCAGCAACAGGAAGACCAAGACAAAAGCAAATATGACAGCATTAATAAGGACAGTCGGACAGATGTTCGACCAACACCGGCAGATGTTCGACCAACACCGGCAGATGTTCGACCAACTCCAGCAGCTCCTCTTAGACGAAGCAACACTGAAGCTAGTGTTGGGAACACAACGATCAGTAGCGATGACACACAACAGGCCACACCTTTCGAACGGCTGTCACTGACGCTGTCAAATGACCAGCGGGTCATCAAAGAAATCAGTCTGGGCAGGCGCATCGCTTTCTATCGCATCCGAGGGGAGATAGGTGCAGGCAACTTTTCACAGGTCAAGTTGGGGATTCATGCATTAACCAAAGGTAAACTCTTCGTTGTTGTTTGTTTGTTTGCTTGTTTTAGTATCCAGAAGCCATGAGTTTTGTTAACCCTTAGGCTCAGTATTATGGATATCGCAACCTTTCGGCCTTGATTCCATTGTGGGCCGAAACGTGTGTCGAAAGAGGATAATTTCTACTGATGACTGTAGATCCCCGCTGTACTTGCTTCCTGTGAGTTTATTCTTATTGTACGTGGCTAGCCCACAAGACTACCAGGAAAGACTGGTGACTATCGGGAAAGTCCTTTTGACACCTATGGAAAGACTGGCCCCCCGGTATCGCCGGGGGGATAAACTGACATCTGGAGACAGATGTCGACTGTGGACCGGGTTGATCACCCCTAACACAGTATAATACCTCCGATTTCGAACAACCACAATGAAATATGCCCCCAGGGCCCTCCGAAAGGGGGGGAGAATGAAGGGCCCAATCTGATTGATACCCTCGTTGACGACCTTGCTAGCCCCCGGACTGAGACACTCGCCCAACGTCCGGGCTGGCTCTGTACATGTGGGAAAAGCTTCACGGGGTTGCATGGTCTGAGAACGCATGCCGGAAGAATGAAATGCGAGGGTGCTCCACGCAGTAAACGCCGTCGCAAAACTACTACTCCTGTGGTAGTTTCTGAGTCGTTAGGGAACGACGGGCAGGGGGAACCCCACTCGCCCGGAGAGGCCCATGACGTCGACTGCGGAGGAGCACCTTTGATGATTTCTGAAGAAGTGCGCTCCAGAATCAGGTTTCCACCTGCGAGCGAGAAGGTGGTGTGGTGTAAGTTGGAGGCTACATTATGTGAGGTACTTAAACAAACTCTAAACAAGAAGTCGCTAGGCGACAAGCTTACTAAATTTGGTGATGTAATATATGAACACTGCTCCCGCGAGTTCGGGACAGTAGTTAAGGCACAGCCGGGTGCCAAGCAGAATACCAGCAGGAGGCAGAGGGACATTCTGAAGTGTCGGGCAGACAAGAATGCCCTCAGAAAACAGTTCAAAGCCGCTACGGGCAGCGAACGGGAGGGGCTGTACGAGGTGTGGGTGCATTTAAAGAACAAACACAGTGCCCTCTGTCGCGCCGAGCGTTTCTGTAACAACAGACGAAGAACTAAAAGGGAGCGAGAGAAATTCTTTAGGGACCCGTATCAGTTTGCCCGAGGTCTATTCGAGCAACCGAAGTCTGGGACTCTGGTTGTCAGTCAGAAAGAACTTGAGCTACATCTAAGCAAGATGTACTCTGATAAGAAGAGGAGAGAGCCTCTTGATGACAATCCAGAGATCCTTAGCGGACTCAAACAGCCTTCGGTGCCGAAGGTACCATTTAAAATGGTACCTCCCCTTTGGTCTGAGGTTGAAGATGTTGTGAAAAAGGCCAGCGGCAAGTCTGCCCCAGGTCCGAACGGTGTCCCGTACGTTCTTTACAAGCGTTGCCCGAAAATCCTAAAAATGCTTCACGTCTTGCTGCGACAAGCGTGGATCCGCAATCACATATGTCCAGAGTGGTCAAAGGCAAATGGGGTCTACATTCCCAAAGAGCAGGACTCGAAGAGTCTTTCCCAATTCAGGCCCATCTCGCTGTTGAATGTTGAGGGTAAGATATTCTTCTCAGTCATGGCTCGCCGGCTCACACAGTATCTGATGACTAACAAGTACATAGATACGAGTGTTCAGAAGGGTGGTATTCCAGGCGTTCCTGGGTGCCTTGAACACGCGACCATGATCTGGGAGGCTATCCAGAGAGCCAAGCATGAGAGAACCAATTTGCACGTTATATGGTTGGACTTAGCCAACGCCTACGGGGCAGTCCCCCATAGGCTACTGTGGCGAGCCCTTCGCATGTTTCACGTACCGACACAGATCAGTCAAATGGTCGAGCAATATTTCTCCAAGTTCGCTTTGCGCTTCTCTACCTCGACGTTTACCACGAGGTGGACTGAGTTGCAGATTGGGATAGCTATGGGGTGTACGATCTCACCTATACTGTTTGTCATGGCAATGCAGATCATGTTGGACGGGGCGGCCGGCTACGGACTGGGCCTTCAAATAGGGGATCACTGGTTGCCGCCACTGCGCGCATTTATGGATGACACGACTATTATAACGAGCAGCGAGGAGTCTGCCCGCACGATCCTGAAAAGATTGGACGCGGTGGTCCAATGGAGCGGTATGCAGTTCAAACCGCAGAAGTCGAGGAGTCTGTCAATCCATAAGGGCAAGGTGTCGGCGACCAGTTTTACGGTGGCAAGGAACAAGATCCCTACGGTTCTGGAGGAACCGGTGAAGAGTCTCGGTCGCGTTTACGATTCGAAGTTATCTGACAGAGCGGAAGTCCGGCGAATACATGAGTCACTGGCTACAGGCCTGCTCGCGATCGAGCGATGCAGGCTGATCGGAAAATTCAAGGTATGGTGTCTCCAATTCATGTTGATTCCAAAGCTCCTATGGCCACTGCTAGTCTACGAGGTGACGATGACTGCAGTTGAAACCATGGAGAAAAAAATCAACACAGCCTTAAGAAAGTGGATTGGAGCACCGCCTTGTCTGACCGACGTGGCTCTGTATTGTAAACAGGCTAAGCTGGTACTTCCGTTCAAGTCAATAACCGAAGAGTTTAAAGTCGGCAAAGTTAGGCTCGCCATGCTTCTGCGCGAGTCCTCAGACCCAAATGTCATCGCTGTCCAGCCCGCTCTAAAGACTGGCCAGAAGTGGAAGGTCCTCGATGCAATTGAATCTGCTCAGAACGCACTAAAATTGAAGGAGGTGATGGGTTACACACAAACCGACCGTCGAGGCCTAGGGCACGGGAAAGTCAATTGGTGGTCAAAGGCCTCAGCCAAAGAACGCCGAGACATGGTGATACAAACGGTGAGGGACAACGAAAACGAGGTTCGGGTTCAGAAAGCAGCCCAACAGTCGCAGCAGGGCCATTGGGTCAGCCTGGAGAGCGCATTGCCTAGAATACTCACATGGGGTGAGATCTGGCGGATGACCCCGTTGCGACTGAGCTTTATCGTTCGTTCGGCGTACGATGTATTACCGTCCGGTGTTAACATGGTTAAATGGTCTGCGACCAACGATCCGACTTGCCCGTTGTGCAAATCAAAGCAAACTCTTGAGCACGTCCTGTCCGCGTGCAGGAAAGCTCTAGGTCAAGGCCGCTATACCTGGCGCCACAACAAGGTGCTAAAGGAGTTAGCAGCCGTTGTCGACCAGGCTAGAATGAGGGCTAATGCCAGAGCCAGTTCTAGTATCGTCCCCATTCGTTTCCTCAAGGCTGGGCAGGTTCCAAAAGGTAAGGTCAACCAAAACGCATTCGCTCCATCTGCGCTAGATTCTGCGAGGGACTGGTTACTGGCGGTTGATCTGCCAGGACATGAACGGTATCCCGAGTTGATCCGTAAAACCGGCCTGCGACCGGACATCGTTCTCCATTCTGCACAAAAACGGCAGCTCATTCTGATTGAGTTGACTGTCCCGTTTGAGTCGCGGATGGAGGAGAATCATTTGTACAAGCTCGAGAAGTACAGTGATTTAGCAGCCGGTTTGAGGAAAAACGAGGCTTACACAGTGCGGGTATTTGCCGTCGAAGTGGGAGCGAGAGGCCTCGTTTCCACTTCGCTCTACAATGTGGTAAAAGAGTTAGGATTGCGCGGTAATGAACGGAAACGGGCACTCAAAAAACTTGGTGAGGTGGCCGAAAGGGCGTCCAGCTGGCTTTGGACGCAGCGCAACAACGTAGGGGACGGGCCTCGGTGAGCTGGTCCGGGTATCTAGTGGAAAAGAGTTTCTTATCCCTTTGAAAAGTCCATCGTGTACGAATTGTCTGCCAGTGTTCCTCTGCCAACTGCTAATAAAAGTCCAAGATGTGTCCGGTAAACCAAAGTAAGCTTGTCGCTCGGTCGTCCAGGCATGCGGACTGTTCTAATTACGCTGCCGTGGCGGCTTCTTATCTCACAGTACCTCCTTCGAAACCACCAAGTCGTCTTGTCTCTGGCCGAAAGTATAACACCATCCGGTAATTCTGTGCGGCGGGGAAGCAGCCCTGAGCTTCATGAACTCAGGTGGGCCCACCTCCGAATACGTTTAGGAATCGTGGGCCGAAACGTGTGTCGAAAGAGGATAATTTCTACTGATGACTGTAGATCCCCGCTGTACTTGCTCCCTGTGAGTTTATTCTTATATATACCGTAAATCTGGGACAAATGTAGCTTTTCTGTCTACCCTGGGGAGTGAACCCGGACCACAAGGAGTTCGTCACCCGGTCAACGCGCAATCCGGTTTAGCCAAATACGCTAGAGATTCGGGCCGTTGTTGTTCAAATCTGCATCCAGTTGGATTTTTTAAAAAAATATGACCTCGGCTCCCAGTTCAAACCAGCTTAAATTGGGTACTGGGTGAAGTCCACATGACCTCGGCTCCCAGCTCAAACCAGCTTAAAGTGGGTACTGGGTGAAGTCCGCATGACCTCGGCTCCCAGTTCAAACCAGATTAAAGTGGGTACAGGGTGAAGTCCAGATGACCTCGGCTCCCAGCTCAAACCAGCTTAAATTGGGTACTGGGTGAAGTCCACATGACCTCGGCTCCCAGTTCAAACCAGCTTAAAGTGGGTACTGGGTGAAGTTCACAGGACCACGGCTGCCAGCTCAAACCAGCTTAAAGTGGGTTCTGGGTGAAGTCCACATGACCTGGCCTCCCAGCTCAAACCAGCTTAAAGTGGGTACTGGGTGAAGTCCACATGACCTCGGCTCCCAGCTCAAACCAGCTTAAAGTGGGTACTGGGTGAAGTCCGCATGACCTCGGCTCCCAGTTCAAACCAGATTAAAGTGGGTACAGGGTGAAGTCCAGATGACCTCGGCTCCCAGCTCAAACCAGCTTAAATTGGGTACTGGGTGAAGTCCACATGACCTCGGCTCCCAGTTCAAACCAGCTTAAAGTGGGTACTGGGTGAAGTTCACAGGACCACGGCTGCCAGCTCAAACCAGCTTA